ACATTAATTTATGCATTAATAAATTAATTAAATTAATTTAAAAATAAATTTACCTAGCGAACGATTAAGTCGATAACTTGAGTTCTTTGACTACAAACGTTCCTCGCTCTAAGGTTGTTTGGAATACCTGAATCTTCCTCATCAATTTCTTAGATCTACAAAGATGTGTGTGGGGGCACACCTCGAACAAAATAGTATTAGCACTCAAAACACTCAAGTCTTCTACGAACACCAACACATGCACGACATGGAACTGAGAATTTGAAAGAACTTTTCTTCTCCTTTTCTCTCAGGTTACACGCCCATCTCTAGTAGGCTACATGCTAACCAACTGCGTGTTACATGCCTATACTAACATGTTACATGTCGCCTGTAGGGGAGGGAGTGAAAAAGTTACATGTATGTCACTAACATGTTACACAATGTGTGGCAGAATAGTACACGCCCATAACTAGCATGTTACACGCCTATCACATAAGGGAAGAGAGAAAAATTGTGTTATCTAATTTTCAGCAACTTCTTATTTATAGAGTACCTCTTCGAGTCCTAAAAAAACTATATCTTCTCTTTTAAAATAAAAGTTTCAGAAAATAATAGATAATATTTAATCTTAAATCCTATTTAAAATCAAATAAATTTCTCATTTAATTTTAGAATAATTTTCTCTCTTTTGTTGTAGATAAAATTTGGCCACCATAGGGATAAGCTTCTTGTGGTTAGCGCCTACTATAGATAAGGAGGCAACAAAATTTCTCCTTTATCTAGTTGTCCAAATTTGACTCAAATTCAAATTCTAGTAAAGTGAAATTTAATTTAATTTGAATTCCAGTTGGATAACTTATCAAATAAATCAATTGGATAACTTAGAGAACAAGCAACTGAATCCCAGAGGGATTTCTACAATGTTGGGCGTGTGACGCTTGTGATCTCTATCACTTGTGTTCCAAAATTCAAATTTAATAATCACATTATTTAATATCAAATTAATTATTTTTTAGTATTATTTAAAATTCTATAATTTTAAAATTCCCTTTGTGTTCTTAGTGTCTTGTAGAATTACAAGGATGACGAGAGAACTCATGGACCTATAATTCTGAGCTCCAATAAAATTAATAATTAATTAAAACTCTTTAATTAATTAATTAATTCTAAAGTTACTATACTATAAACTTTGAATTGCACTGTCGTAATTATGGATATAATTTACTTCCAAACTATGAAATGTCCATTTAATATAGTCATTACATATAGACAATCCTCCATAAATAATTCATAATTAAATCTAGGTGAAATCCGTTAACCTCTCTAATTACATCTTTATCGTTGAGTACCATAGATTCTCTAATAGATAGTTATTTATAAAATAAATTCATGAATTTGAGCTCCTACTAATCTAAGTACCGAATCAATTCTCAAGAGAATTATTTATCTGCTTCCTTCTCAATAATGAATGAATTTTATCTTGTATATTAACATTCTTAGCTACTAATTTCATCATGTCTCCAAGATACAAGGAATAGGATTTAGCAATTTCGAAATCCATACCGAGTAAGTCAAAAGACATAAATCCACAAATGAGTCTGCTAATAACTCAAGATTAAAATCATTCTATATATGACAATCGACAGACTCAATTAGAATTTCTATACTTAACGAAAATTATTAAAAATTCATATTGTGTTTGTGTCCCGGTTCCACATAATCTCATTATGCGTAATACACTTATTTAATATCTCACCATATTACTAATGTTGATAACACTGTTCTATTCTAAATGGAAATGACATGTATTAGTAATGTTTAAATTAAAGATTTTAAACTTTAATTAAATTCATTACGAATATCGTTTCAATTATTATTCTTAAATATTATTCTCTCGTATATAATACTTATATATAATATTTAAAATCACATAAATAATTATAAAATTTTTAATAATATTCATAAAATATTTAATAATACACATAAATAATAAAATTTTTATTTATTAAATAAATAATAATATCATTTATTACGTCTCCTGTTTTTTAAAACATTATTCCCAACAGAGCTATCGCCGCATCTAGCCTTGATTATGGATTTGCGCCTTTCTCTCTTCCTCTCTCTTCATCTGGTATAGCCTTGATTGTGATCTGATGTTGGGGTTGCCGAGAAAGATAGGCCCTGTTTGTTACCGTTTTCAATCTCATTTTTCACGTTTTTCAAAGTAAAAAATTGAAAACGCGTTTGGCGAAAGTTTTTTTAAAAACAAAATCAAAACCATTTTTGTCGTTTTGTGAAATTCTGAAAACGCAAAAAAAGCTGTTTTCATTTTCTCGTTTTCGTTTTCGTTTTGCTTTTCTTTCTTCAGCCTCCCGTTCTCTCTTCTTTCTTCAGATTTTTTCTGCCCTTCTTTAGCCCAGTTTCTTCAGCCCTTCTTCCCGGCCGAGCTCCTCCTTTCTTCTCGCCCGATTCGTTTTCTCCGGTTTCCTTCTCGCCTGACTTGCGTCGTTTGCTTCTCACCCGAGCTCCTCCGTTCTGTTCTCGCCTGAGCTCCTCCGGTGTCTTCTTGCCCGATCTGTCCCGTTCTCGTCTCGCCCTTTTCTCACCGAGGTATGCCCCTAGACAAAAACATTTGATGGTTTTCCGTTTGATTTGGTTGAGCATTTTTTCTGATTTGTTTTTTATATGTTTTTAATTTGATAAACTCAACCAAATCGGTTGATATGTTTTCCATTTGATTTGGTTGAGTATTTTTTTATAATTTTTTGATATGATTTGGTGCTTTTTTTTCCGTGTTTTTTTTCCCCTGTGATCCTCCCATTGGGGCTGATTCAGCCCCTGGGGGCCTCACATTGGGGCTGTATCAGCCCCTAGGAGCCTCCCATTGGGGCTAATTCAGCCCCTGTAGGCTGATATTGGGGCTGTATAAGCCCCTGGGAGGCCTCCACTGGGGCTGAATCAGCCCCTGGGAGGCTGATATTGGGGCTGATTCAGCCCCTGGGAGGCCCCCATTGGGGCTGATTCAGCCCTTGCGTGCGTGTGTGTGTGTGTGTACTTTAAAATTGTGATTTATTTTAATGATGAAAGTGTTATTTTAGACAATATGAGGTCGATTTGCCCGTAGAATATATTGAGGGAGAACAAGAAGGGCAACAGGGACAACAACATGGTATGGATGCACAAGAAGCAGAAACATCTGAAATGGGTGGTCGGTAACAACGTAATTACATGGTTAATTTTAGGGATCATTTAACTAATCAAATGTGGGATTCGTATCGGCGACAATAATTTAAGCTAAGATTGTAATTTCCATATTTTATTAATTATTAGTGTTTTTATCTGGGATTCAATTATTATTTATTTAATATATTAAATACTATTACATGTTTTCAAAAATGAAACCACCAAACGCAGTTTCAGTTTTTTTTAAAACTGAAATCAATCTCTGAATAAAATTACCAAACGTATTTTCAGAAATAATTCAAAAATGAAAATGAAAACGTTTTCATTTCTATTTTTGTACATAAAATAAAAACGTTTTGGAACCAATTCTAAACGCACCCATAGGGATTTTATTGCTTTGTTTGTGTCCGAAAGTTTGGATCTCAGTACTGACATTCATTTGGGTTCGAATCTGAGTCCGAAAACCCAGATTATATCAAGTTTGGATCTGTGAACAAAACCCAGTCCGAAACTCCACATTATGTTTGGTTGATACAAATATTAATGTCTGCTCATCCTAACGTAAGGTGCAAAAGCCAAAAAGTAAAGTAAGCTTCTTAACATTTCGATTTTTTGATATTTTTTATTTTAATCTGGGTTCGTTTATCTGTTAATATGGGTTAAAAAAAACTAAATTAATCTGGGTTTGTTATGTATCATTAAGGTTTTGTGTGTGTGTGTGTGGGGTGGGGCGGATTGATTAATCTGAGTTTTGCAAGTTGAAGAATTCTAGGTGCCTAACTTTGCCATGGTGAACCTGCTTTAAAGCATGGGACACCTTAATTATGATTTGGTTGGTTTTTTTTTTTTTTTTTGTGTTATCAAACAATTGTTAATTAACTCTGTTTTACTGTTCGACTGAAAAAAAGAAAAAGATGTTTTGTTGTATAGGTATCATTTTGCTTGGCTTGATAGTTCAAATACCACAGTACTGACATTTTTATCTGTTGGGTGATGCAACGAGACAAAGAAATCTGGGTGTTTTTTTTTCTTTTTTTAATTTAGTTTTTGTATGAAATGATCACTAATGCCCTGGAGAGGTATGTCACGTGGGAATCACATGTAAAAACCGTTTAAGATTTAACAAATATCATCAAAAGGACCAACGGTGTAACACATTTTAAAATTTAAAAAGTTGATTATGAAAATAAGAAAAGTTTAAGAGATCTTATGAAAAAAGCTTCATAAGCCTGAGAATTCTATACAAAAAATAAACATTTTAAGTGTCAAATCCGTATAGAATTTTTCACACACAAAAAAAAAAATCTGTATCTACTTTTTCTGTAATGATTTTAATGAGATTTAATACTCAAAAACATACACCTTTCACTCGTAATCCCCTACTTTATAAAGCTCCCAAGAGTGGCGTCTGCCACTAGAACTCAACAAAATGTAAATTGACTCTCGGCCTCACTGTCATCCATTAACGTGTTTTTCAAATTATTCATCGTTCATTTTATTAATTCAAGTTTTTAATTTTAATTTTATTATAATTAAAAACTCTTATAAAAAATCACATCTAACTTTTTCTGCTATAAAAAGTCACATAAAATCACATTTCAACTTGAATTAAAAACTCGAAACAGTGAACTGAACGAGATTTAACACTTCCATGTATGAAGCTTTAATTAAGAGCCCGTTTAGTTTATGAATTAGAACTATGAGATTAAAACCATTTTCAATTTGTGTATTTTTTATGAGAGAAAATACTGTAATGAACCATGAACCATAATTCGAATCAGAGAACGAATCCTCCAACCAAACGGGCTTTTTTTAAGAATCATACTCAAATATCATATGTAATCTCATCAAAAACATTATGGATGTAAAAGGTTCGTCATATTCAAGTATTCAATATATCATAAAAGATAATCAAGTAACAATGTCTATAAACTAAAATTAAATAGCATCCAGGAGCAATCCCACTGGCACAAAAGAGATTCCAATCGGCCTTCAGCACAGTCAAGGCACCTTTGCAAACTTAAATAGAAACACATCAAAGAAAAGCCCTAACTGTAAAGGTCGTCTTCATCAGCCCCACCAGCAGAGGCTGCAAAAGGATCGGACCCAGCAGCTGCAGCACCAGTATCCGGGAACCTGAATTCGCTTCCAAACCCTCTCGACTGCTGCAACGTCTGTGCAAATGCCTGGTATTTGCGGATATCAGCATCGCTTACACTCCTCCTAGCATACTTCATTGATTCCTCAAAGTGAGCTGCCTTGATCTCTGCAACTTCATCCTCTACATCCTCCTCCATAGCCTCGGGATTATCCTTTCTCCTCCTTTCCCTCTCAATATCCTGCAAAATTAGCGGACTCATGGTTAATTCTCAGAATGACATTTGAGAAAACAAGTGCTTGCATTAGATATACATGTATCAAGGAAAAGTTGTGGGATCATACTTTCTCAATGTTCTCTCTGATAGCGTATTTGCATGCGCGCTGGCATATCTCAGTGATATCGGCACCACTGAATCCTTGAGTGTACTTGGCAAGGGCATGGAGGTCGACATCTTTGGAGACTGGCGATTTCCTCAGGCAGGACTTAAATATTTGGTAACGAGATTCCTCATCAGGGAGAGGGATATAAATCAACTGATCAAGACGGCCTGGACGCAGGAGTGCAGGGTCTATAATGTCTGGTCTGTTAGTGGCACCAATGATAAACACGGTTTTCTTGGCAGACATGCCATCCATTTCAGTGAGCAGTTGGTTCAAAACTCTATCAGCAGCACCACCGGCATCCCCTACACTGCTACCTCTCTGCAGCGCATGGCCAGAAAGAAATTGGAAAGGAGCCATCAGATGTGAACCAGGTGAAATCACATTACATGGACACAATCAAATGCACATGAACCATAAGTAAATCATTGTCTCCCATCTTCCCAATTATGTAAGAAATTAGTTCCTGAGTTTCTTTAACCAACATTAGTGTGACACTAATCAACTACCAATTCCAATTAAAATCACATGGTAAATGGTAATATAAAATGTAAAATCCATCAACCAAATAGGTGCTCAAACCTGAGTAGCAATTGAATCAAGTTCATCAAAGAACAGGACACAAGGAGCAGATCCGCGGGCCTTGTCAAAAATTTCCCGAACATTAGCCTCACTCTCTCCGAACCACATTGTAAGCAATTCAGGACCCTTGACACTGATGAAGTTGGCCTGACATTCATTGGCAATAGCTTTGGCAAGAAGAGTCTTTCCACATCCAGGAGGTCCATAGAACAGAACTCCCTTCGAAGGTGACATTCCAAACTTCTCAAATTTCTCAGGATGCTCCACTGGATACTGAACAGTCTGCGTGACCATTGAATATAGAGAACAATAAGCAAAAAGGTGAAATAAATATTTTTGACATGTAAAGTCCAATTAAAATTCAATTACCTCTTGGAGCTCCCTCTTGACATTCTCAAGACCTCCAATATCCTCCCAACTAACATTGGGCACCTCAACAACCTGGATTACCAATAACTTCAAATTAGAGACCCATCTAGCAGTGGGATAGAAAAACTATAGACGCATGCCGGGTCACTTCAAGGACATCAGTAATTACAAGAATACTTACAGTTTCACGGAGGGCAGATGGATTGCTTGTGCCAAGAGCAGTCTGGAAGTGCTCATTTGTAACAGCCATTGAATTGAGTATCTCAGCATCTATTGAGTCATCTTCTAAGTCAATAACATCCATCTTCTCTCTAATGCACTGAAGTGCAGCCTCGGTACACAAAGCAGCCAGATCAGCACCAACATAACCATGTGTGTCCTTTGCTATTCTTTCCAAATCAACCTGCAGAACAAAACCAAGAAAGGTTCATTAAACTACGATTGGACTGGAAAGGAAGTGTACAATGAGAATATGGGAATAATTAGTATAGGACATTACATCAACGGAAAGTTTCATATTCTTTGTATGAATACGAAGGACCTCAAGACGCCCAACTTCATCTGGAACACCAATATCTATTTCCCTATCAAATCTGCCAAACCTTCTCAGAGCTGGGTCAATACTGTTGGGACGATTGGTAGCACCAATCACAATAACATGTGCACGAGATTTCAGTCCATCCATGAGAGTCAATAGCTGGGAGACGATTCTCCTCTCAACTTCTCCATGAGTCTTCTCTCTCTTCGGAGCAATAGAATCAATCTCATCAATAAATATAATAGATGGAGCATTCTTCTCTGCTTCCTCAAAAGCTTTCCTCAAATTGCTTTCACTCTCTCCAGCCAATTTAGACATGATTTCTGGTCCATTAATGCAGAAAAAGAATGCACCAGTTTCATTTGCAACAGCTCGGGCAATCAGAGTCTTTCCAGAACCTGGAGGTCCATACAATAGAATTCCCTTTGGTGGCTTAACTCCAATTGATTTGAATAGCTGTGGATGCCTAAGCGGCAGCTCCACAAGCTCCCGAATCTGAGCCATCTGTTTTCTGACACCACCAACATCATCGTAACCAACCTCATCCAATCTATCCTCATCCTCCCTTCTCACAGGCTCCCCCTCACAGAAGATCTCAGTGTCAGGGGCAACCACACAATACTCAGCAGGTTCAGTTTCAATAACCTTGAATTCAACGCTCCTCATTCCTCCTCTCACAAGAAAGAGATCACCCTTCCTTACTGGGCGATAAGCTTCCAGGAAATAGGCTGCAGATAACAGTTGTCAACATGAATGACGCAGACCACAAGGATTTAGCTAGCATAAAATGATATAACCACACAAACCTCATAAAGTTCAGCCATGACAGAAATTTTCATTTAACGGTACACACAAACACACGTGTCCTGATCAACTTAAACCAAGAACAAAAATATCATTTATGTGTAAAGTACAAAACCCCAACCTTCCATTCAAAGTCTTTTTATCAACCGAAACGTATAAATCATTAGATGACAAGAATACATGGCTAATAAAACATTATGCTGACTCCTAAAACTTGGCTAAGGTAAAGGTATATTCAGCTACTTTTCGATTTCCTGAAGGCTGAAACTAATCTTTGTAAAGAAAGACAAGAAGCATCATGCAACAGAAGATAATTGAGACGTTTGAGTTATAGGGTAATCATTAACAACTTGCTCAGATAAAATATAAGTACAAATGAAACGTAACTAACTACAGGCCACAATTTCAAATAGTTCGTACTTTAAGCATATACGTGAAATAATTTTTCCATCCAAAAGAACAACACAAGGTACAGCTTCATACAGTTAGTTGCTTAAATTTAAAGGGGAAAACATAAACCTAGAACATGGACCAATTTTCAATTACACTGTATTGAACACTGAAAACCCACGGACATCAGTAAGGAGACTATCCATGCATTCATGCAAAAACTTCTAGATTACTCACGCATTGATATATAAACTTCCACCATATTTGGGGAAAAAAGGTTGAGAAAGAAACTTACGCTTCAAGTATGCATCAAAAAGATTCCCAGTTACTCCCTCAATGGTGTCATCAATGGGAAGAATGTGGACACGCTTTCCATATTTGACATCCGGACACTGGTGCACAGAAACGACATCACCAAGCCTAACCCTCAAATTGCTCCGTACAACTTTGTTCATCCTTATCTTTGGCTCATCGCACGTATCATCAGCAAGAGCAATACAGATGGTGTCCTTCCTTTTCTTACCCTGAATATCAAAAGCAACAACAATTTTTCCAGAAAAAGAAGTTAAATTTAACATGTTACCTAAAGTTAAATAGCTCATAGATTCTAAAACAAAACATCATGTTACTTGCGGGCAAGTGAAGGAACCCAAGGTCAAACTCAAACCCATTACATTACCACACTCATAGAACACAAAATAGTATAATACGCAAAACCTAAACAAGCAATATGCAATGCCATAAAGGCCTGATTTTGAAAAGTCATCACATAGACATTACAATCATCTCAATGTAATACCAATAAATCCAATCTATAATTCACTTAAAATTAGTAATGTAATCAACTCAAACAAATTGACCCAGTTCTCATATCCCCAAACAGACAGAAACAAATCTCCAACCGACCCAGGTGCTAAATCGCCATTCAAAACCTAATCTCCGAAAAACCCTAATCCAAAATCCCCAAATCACCATAAGCCCCAATTCAAAGCACAAAACTTGAGCAACAAAAATAAAAATCAAACCCTAGAGCTGAAAGAAACCAAACCTTGATGAGGATCGTGTCGCCGCGGAAGAGCTGGAGCTTCTCCATGGTCTCGGGGTGGAGCGAGACGACGGAGTTGTCGTCGTTGACGGCCTCATCGACGACGAGCCGATTCGCCGCCTTCTTCCGCTCAAGAATCGCGGTGCTGAAATCCCTCTTTGTTCCCTTCCTGAGAACAAGAACACAAAAAATTTGCAATCAGATTGTAATCATACGAAGAAATTCCAATGAATCGGCGAAACAGAGAAGAAGTAGAAATTGGATCTGAGGGCTTACGAATCAGAGGATTCAGCTTGGTTAGACATGGCGAAAGAGAGAGAATTTGGCAAGGAGAAAACGAAGAAGAAGAAGGAATGTGGGAAGGAAGGGAAATAGTGATTGGGATCTGAAAGACGAGAGAGATTGAGATATTTATACAAAAGGGGTTAGATGAATCGGAACTCCCCTTTCTTGTTAGGAAAGAAAAGCCTTTGGCTTGCTCGACTTGTTTTTTATTTTTATTTTTTGTTCTAGAATAAACGTCTACTAATTATCTTTTTTTTCCCCCTTTTTTTTATTATATATTTACAACACATAATCAACATTTACAAAATATAAAGGAGATTTAACATTAACATTTGATCGAAAAGCAAAGATTTAATACGAATTCAAATTGTGAAGGCATAAATATGATACAATTTAAAACATGTAATATATTCTTTTGTCAACCTCAAAATTTATATAAAATGAGAAAAAAATTAAGTATAAAAAAAGAGAAAAAATTTCATAAAAAAGATAAAAAAAAATCATTATTTTAATATCATAAAAACCAAATGGTATTAAAGGTATTTTTTTTTCAAAAAAAAAAAAAAATATGATACCGAAAAGAAAATGTACTTTTACTTATCCTAATAGAGTTTATATATTAGTGCACTCTTAATTTGTATAAATGACTCGGAAATTTAGACGCGTGTGATATTTATTTTTAGAAGGAGGAAAAATGTAAATGTTCATTTATTTTACTGATTTGAGTTGAAAAATTAAGTTAAAAAGTGAATAATTTAAGAAAAAATGCCGTAATAAAAAAATTAAATTTTAATTTTAATGAATAAAAGTTTGAGTTGCAATTCAAATGTGAAACAAGGTCTAATAACCAAATAAACAACAAAAAATCTAAATTCGTAGACAGAGAGCTCGAAAATTACCTAAACAAACGACATTAAGCATTGGCAATAAAACGACATATCGTTTACGTACCATGAGTCAGTCCACTGGCTAGCGAGTGCGATTGAGGCGGGATCACGTCTACATTATTTATTTATGTTTTATTTATTTATTTATTATTTATCTGTGCTAGGCGATCGCTTATTCAATTGACTATATTCGTCATCTCATTCACAAACGACAAGAAAACAGCAGACGTTTCATTGAATCCAAATGACACGTCGTTTTCAAGAGAAACTACGTCAAGTATTGAAATAAGAAAGATCCGACCACGGAAGTAAAAGCTGCAAGCGAGGCCGCCTTTGTCGTTCTACTTAATACAATCAAATGATCAATTTCCCACCGAACGAGATGCTGGTTGAAACACAAATAGGAGCAAATTTAAAAAAAAAATGGAAAGGACAATTATGTCGTTTAATTGGGGAAAAAAATTAAAAGAAAAATCATATGTCCTTCCAGTAGATGGAAGGTAGGCAGGTAGCTGACCAGCGATTTTATGGGTTCAACTTTTTGCTATAGTATTTTTTTTTTATAAAAATTAAAATTTTAATTCAAACTTTTTTGGCTAACCTATGAATCAAACATAACGATCATGTTCTTTGATGTTTATCAAAAGTTAATTAGTGTAGAAAAATAATAAATTTAATCCAAATAAGTAGCGAGTAATTATTATTTAGTACACGTAAAAACGAAACACGAAACGTCATTTTATCTTGAAGAGCGCTCCTCAAGTGGAAATTGGTGTCGTTTCTAGGCTTGATTTACAGAAAATGAGAAAACTGAGACTACAAAGGAAACGTCCATGTTATACATAAGTTGCAGCAAAATAAGACATAGGTGCACAAATGTCGTTTTCTCCTCTTTTTTCCCAATTTAAATGATAGATCAATCATATCCGTGCAAATCACATGCCGTTCCCTTTCTATATTCCACAAACAACTTGTCCGATTTGTTACTAAAACAACAGCACACACTCAAAGGAAAAATATCATGTCTATTTTACCAAAGAAAAATATTTTATTTCTCATATGAATATATGATCTACAACTTCTATTGAACATTTTGATCTGCCTCTTATATTATGTCATATTAACAATTCTTACAAACAAGTAGAAAAAACAGAAAAATAAATTGTATTACATTCATTTATCATGCGGAAAATCAGATAGAACCCCCTTTACCAAAAGAGAATTTTACTCGTTGAAGTAGTTACAATTATTCCACGAGTGATGGTGAATCCAAGAATTGAGTTCTTCTTTTCCTTGCTTCAACTCTTCAAATTAGATGTAGACATTCCGTATTTTGATATCTCTTTAAAATGATGAGATAAATGTGATACTAGTTTCATTCTTTTACCCTCACTTAAGCAAAGCATAGTCTTAAGAAAATAGTAACATCGACATAATCGAAACACGACATGTGACACATGGTGATGAGTCGAGATTTAAGGCTTTTGATAAAACTATTCAAGAAACGCACAGTATTATCATGGCATGAATATAACACAAACACCACTAGAATGGCAACAAATGGGAAGAGAAACCCCTTGTGAAACGTTTCATATATTCCTTCTCACGTGCAAAACGCGAAACTTATTTACGCTTGTCATGTAGGAATAAACTTTTATTTTTCCTTGAAAGTGAGATAACTCTAACGAAAGGCTCATGTGGGCTAGTGGGCTTCATGTTCAACCATTCTACGGATCCATTTTAAAAGCGACTAAAATTAATAGACAGCTAGCAAGTCCGAAACAAGCACCCAAAATAAGGGAGCGTTTGGGAGAATGATTCGTTCCCTAATTTGAATCATGATTCGTAGTTTGCTACAGTATTTTTTCTCATAAAAAATACACGTAAATCAAAAATTGTTCGAATCACATGGTTTGAATACTCCAACTAAACAAACCCTAAGATTCACATTTTCTAATTTTCCAAAATAAGGAAAACGACAAAGATTTAAAGGTGATGTGAGCTTTTGACCTATTTGGAGTTGATTTTATTTTTGTTTTTGTTTTTATTGTTTACGTGATGTGAGCTTTTGATCCTGTTTAGAGTTGGTTTTGTTTTTATTTTTTATATTTTTTTAGAAAAAAAATGAAAATGAGAGAGAAACGGCGTTTGACACAATTAAAGATAAAAAATTAAAATGAAAATGATTTTTTGATTTAGTGTAAAATGGAAGAGAAATAAAAAATGACTCTTAGTCGTTTGTCATTTTTTGTTTCTTTTTTCTTATCTCTCGAGCACAGAGAGAGAGAGATTAATTAATTTTTTATACTGAAAATAATATCTTGATAAAACTACTAAACGTATTTTCAAAAATAATTTATGTATAAGATTGAAAACATTTTCATTTTCATTTTCATACAAAAAAACAAAATTATTTTATAACGAGTTCTAAAAGCACCATTTGTTTTTGTTTTGTATTTTTGTATTTTTGTATTTTTTTTTTTTTTTTTTGCATGTATGTGATTGGAGCTTGAGAGCCCACCCCATGTACGTGGCCTGTGGGGACAAACCACAACTATAATTCGGGATGTACATATGAATTAGTAGGGCATCTGACTTGTATTTCCCAAATTTTGAAAAGATAGATTCACAAAAACCAAGTTCTACATTTCAAACATGATCAGAGCCCCAACGAAAGAGCGACATGGAAAGAGGATCTCGTTTCAAAGATGATCCGGACCAACAATAATAGATGCATTGTAAAACTAAGGTCCCAAGGGAGAGAAAATTAAGGTGAACCAATCGAAGGAGGAGCTGAGTTACAAAATTACCATCGATTTTTTATAAGTCATACCTTCAAATTACCTTTAAATTACTGTTAATATATAAATTTATACTCTTTTTTGATATTTTGACTTGTGAAAATGACCAAACTATTCATAAAGGGAGTTAGTATAATAACGCATATTCATGTTTCCAAATAGTTATATAATCCCCTTCTAAAGATAATTTGATCATTTCACAAGTTAAAATCAAGTTTTGACTGAAAAAAAGTATAGATTTGTATAGTAACTATAATTAAATGTGTATTTTTTATAAGATTAAAATTCGATGACATATTTTCTGAATAAACATAAAATGTAAGGTACAGGAAGATAGACAACCTTTAACTAATTTAAGCTGCGTTTGGATATAGATCAACCCCTTAATTTGCTACCTCTGTTATATTACATGTCCTGGAGAAAATTGATCCTGCAACATGATCTAGGTCCGGAGCAAGTCAAAAACAAAAATGGGTTTTTAGCACAATTGATCTCCAAATTTGTCGTGATTAAGTAAATTGCCCTTTAAATTTTTAATTTTGATTAGTTGCTCTCTGAATTTGTAAATTTGTTGTAATGGACCCCATTTAATAAAATTTGGTCAAATTTATTAGTAGATTCAAGGGATTAAAAGTTAAAATATTAAAAGATTTGTGTTACATTTGAATTGAAATGTTAAAATTTTTAGTTGAACGTGCTTTTTTGACATTAAATTAACACAATTATTGTTAAAATGAGGTATACTGCAATAATTTTATAAATTAAAATGACAACTTATCAAAATTAAAAATTTAGTAGATAATTTACTAAATCACGATAAATTCAGGAGGTAAGTGTGCTAAAAACTTAAGCGCAGACACTTGCACACTCTAAAAGTATATAATATGTAAAGTATAATTTGTATTCTTCCCTGGTATTCATAACGATATTTGACCTAACTTTTTATTATCAATCGTACTGCATGCTACTTGTTCCACATGACCCGTTGATATATTACGGCAACATAATACCTGCACCAACGAAACTCATTGAGGAGACATGCAGGCAGTAGCAGATTTAAGTACAGCTCAGTAATATTACCGTCCCCACTTAAATTTTTTTGAAAAAAATGTTACTTTTAAAAATTTTAAAATTTTATATTTAAGTTTCTACTGAAATAATATATGCCCCCACTAAAATAAATATATTTTCTTATATGCCCCCCTAAGATAATTTGTTAAAAAAAATTTAATGTACGCTCCCATTAAAGTGAAAGGCTAGCTCCGCTATTACATGTCTATAAATCAGAAAAGATGAGGTCCGAATATTGTTTAATGAAGGATCAGGGAGAGCAACTCCTATTTTTCGTATGATCGCTAAAAGAACTAAAGGACGAGAAGTGGTGAACCTCTATTGGCCTTTAGTTCTTTAGCTGCTATACTTGACCGACGTCGGTTCCATACGGTAAGATTAAGGTATGATTTGGTTACAAAACGCTGGACTTTTATAAGGTATGTGAAGAAGTAAGTGTGGAATGTATTGTGATAAAAATAACACAATAACATAATATAGAGATATAACATGTTGGATACGATTAATGCTTTGAGCTCAGAAGGAGCCAAATTATTGAAGTTACATTTTATAAATATACACACACACACACACCATCATAGTGGCAGACTTTTAAGTGGTAGGGTAATGATATTATTTTGGCGGTTTGCAATAATAACCATTCATAAGGAATCATTCTATGGCGTATATACTGGAGGATAAGCCTCCGCAGACCAAAATTGACACTTCACCTTTAATTTCATGAAATTACATCAAAGTCACACCTTTAATTTCATGAAATTACATCAAAGTCACACCTTTAATTTCATGAAATTACATCAAAGTCACAACGAGTACGAACCGATATTCGACAAAAAGACATGGAGATGTAATCACCATTCATACAACACAATACAATATTAACATGATTGATATAGTACTATACCTGCTATATATATATATATGTATATGGATATATAAATATGTATAATAGGAACTCCATGTGATTAGATTGCTAAACAAAGATTAACTCCCTGAGACACAAATGAAGAATTTTATTTTTAAGTCCGAAAATTATAATAAGAAGAACCACATTAGTAGTGTTCAATATCACAACTACAATATTATAGTATTCTCTATATAAATACTATTCATGCATATAATACAATACTACTTACGTCTCATATTTCTTCTGAATCAGTTTAAACTCGAGATCCTTTATGAATTGAGTAAAATTTTTCTCCGATGATCCCTCCTTAGTCAACGCATTTTCCAAGGCTTTTCTAGCCTCCTTGATGTTCTTCCTCAACTGATCATGATCATCGCCACTCGATTTTCCACCCATCAAACGGCTGATCTTCTCCGCAACTTCCTCCCTTGTGACGGCGTTCCCCTTGTGGTGATCATCAACAAGATTGAGCCCAATCCTCCAATCATCAACCACTATTTTCCTATTAGTAAACTGGTCAGTCAACAGCGGGTAAGCCAACAAAGGCACGCCACACCATACACTCTCCAACACCGAATTCCACCCGCAGTGCGTTAAGAACCCTCCGATCGTGGGGTGAGAGATCACCTCAATCTGACAACACCACGTGACGATCAACCCCCTTCCCTTGATCTGGTCCTCGAAACCGACGGGCAAGATGTCGGGCTCATCCGAGCTCACGATATCAGGGCGAAGCACCCAAACAAAACTCACTTGGCTAAGTAAAAGCCCGTATGCAATCTCCTCAATCTCCCTCTTACTAGCGTGGGCGTAGCTCCCAAACGACACGTACAAGACCGAGCCGCGGGGCTTGGAATCGAGCCACTTGGTGCAATCTGACTCGGACCAGAGGCTAGTGGCCACGGAGCTCTTTGTGAACCCGGATGGGAAGATGGGTCCGATCGAGTAGAATGGTTGCTTCTCTTGTAGGGCTGAGATTGTGTCGTTTTCTAGCTCTTGGACTGTGTTGCACAGAATAAAATCAGCTTTTTTAACGTCGTTAAATGCCTTGTATATGATCATGTGCTCTGGGGTATTTGTGTCTGTGGTTTGGAGGTACGACATCAAGTCCTTTGGCTCGATTGCTTTCACTCCAGGAATGTAGTCGATGGTGTCTTTGCGATTCTCTGATGTTAATTAAAAGTTAATTAGTTAATTAATCGTTATAACTAGTAAAAGTAGAGCTAAGGTTAAAAAATTAAAAAAAAAAAAAAAAAACTTAAAATATTTCCTATGTTATTTGCGCTAGGTTTATGTAATGGTTGCGAATGTTTCTAAACAATCAGATTTATGAAGAAAAATTATAATGCTTCTAGTTTTTGTTTAAATTCGAATAAGTTAAGCAAAAGAAAAAAAGAAAAAATTGAAGTAAGTATGATAAAATTCTAAAAATTAGCATATAATAACATATATTAAATGAATAAATAAAAGAGCTAGGTTAGATAAGACCATTAAAGTTAATTTTATTTAGGAAAAGAAAAAAATACGTACCATGAGAAGCAGAATGGTGACCATTCTTGATAAGGAGGTCCAAGTGGTAGTACAAGGTGAAAACCAAAGCTGGTTCAGTCCAGAAGGAGATATTGACAAGATTATACTTGGTGGCTATAAATGAAGGCCAAACAAAGAAACTATCGGATATCAAGCAAGTCAGCGGCGGATCCGAAGATCCGACCAGGTTTCCGACAAGTTCATCAACATGTGCCGAGAAAACATGCCGGACACCCTCCCAAAACTGGTTGAGGTTGAGGGACCGGTCAAACCCTAGCGGAAAACCGTCGCTGATCGTTGCGTAGCGAATGTCAAGGCCCGATTTACGCGCTCCGGCGAAGATGTCGCCGTCGTCGTTGTGATCATCATCCGTACCGGGTTGGGAGTTGTGGGATTTGATGATCTGGTGGTGAATGGAGAGGGTGTTGACGAAGGTGATGGTGATGCCCTTTGATGCGAGCTTCACCGCGAGATGGACGGCTGGGATTACGTGGCCTTGGAGAGGGTAGGGAAAGACGATGGCGTGAGGCTTTGGATCATGGCCATTGATGATCATTTTCTCCATCTCTAAGCTTGTGTTGTAGTGTTGATAATGAGTACTGCTCAATAATAAGTGAGTCTAATTAGGAATATCTCAAAACTATGGCTACTGATAGTTGAGGTTAGTGCTATCTATAACATATAATAGTACTATATATATATATATATATGTGTGTGTGTGTGTGTGTGTGTGTGTGTGTGTAATAGTCTGTCTAAACCATCCTATATGACACGATGTTGAATGAAATTAAATCTTGAAGTATAAAAAATTCAATTAAAAAAATTTTAAATCTTTTAAATGATGTAACTTAATGTAGTCTGTAAAACGTAATTTTTAAAATTAAAATCGGACAAATGATTTCAATTTAATGGGTTGTATATGCGTTTCCTTCTATATAAAAAATTTAGACGGAAGTACATGTTATCAATTATTATCATGTCGTCAGTGAAATTATTGTGGCACTTAAAGACTATAGATTTTTTTATATTTCCTTATAAATAGATCAATTATTAAAATCAAAACCCAGATGTGGTCCTAAATAGTAAGAAAGCAAATAAATAAGCAAACTAGATTAATATTGACATCATTATATTTCTACATTTGGCAGCACTCTAGCTTTTTCGTAATAACTAATGGATTTCAAATAAAAGGTTTAAAGAATTGCACAAATATATAAGTCAAAATATGTTTTTTCAAATTACTTTATAAGGAGCAATGTAATGACATATATATAAGAAAATTAACGGTAAGAAAATACGATTTAGAAAAGGGTATATAATTTCTTTAGAGTATAAATCATCCCTTAATCAATAGAGAATTAAGAAGACATTCTTGATATTCTCAATACATGTGACAGAGCGTAGTACTCTGCAAATTTGTTTCCAACGGATAGTTTTATCCAACGGCTCTCCAAGATTTTTATTTGAGTCAACTATTGTGATTTGGTATTAATCATTTATCTTATCACTAACTATTGTAATTTATAAATTAATTAAAGAGTGAGAAAAAAATTCATCCTCAACCTTGGGTACACCAAAGAAAGAAGGGACAAGAGACAGAAAAAAAAAAACAAAAACAAAAAAGCTGCAGGAAGGATAAAATTATAAAATACTCAATATTTAATGTCCATAGTTTCTCAACTAATTATTCTCTACTATTTATTTAAGATTGGTATTGATGGGAAATTTTAAAAAACTCATACATGGGTCTTTTTATGCTATTGGGGTACTTTTTCTAGCATCGTGTTGGGAGATGTGATGTTTTGTGAAAGTTTATATTATAACTTGTAAATTCAAACGATAAAGTTGTAAATTTAAATGATAATTTGTGAAATTTTAAATTTTACAATAAATCGTTCGAGTTTGCAAGTTCTAACATAAATTATCATAAAATTTAAATTTCATAAATTATCGTAACTTTTACAATTTTATTATTCGAGTTTGTAAATTTTAACGTAAAATTTCACAAATTATATCGCATCTCTTAGTATGATGTCGGGAATATTTCCCCGCAGCATAAAAGAATCTTCCATATATATAGTGGTTTCTTTTATTTTTACTCGTTCGAGTTGATAATTTAAGTTAAAAAAATGTAAAAAAAAAGTTGAGTATCTTTCGTCCATAAGAAGAAATATATGTGTGTGTGTGTGTGTGTGTGTGTGTGTGTGTGTGTGTGTGTGTGTGTGTGGCGGTGTTGTCTCTACTTCATATTCTTTTCATTTTTAGCCAAAACTAAAAACAAAAGGGGGCATGGAATCTAACGGCTCTCCAAGATTCTTGGAATCCAACGGCTCTCTAAGATTTTTATTTGAGTCAACTATTGTGATTTGGTATTGATATTATATTACTAACTATTGTAATTTATAAATTAATTAAAGAGAGAAAAAAAAAACTCATCCTCAACCTCGGGTACACCAAAGAAAAAAAGGGACAAGTGACAGGAAAAAAAGGAAAATAACAAAAAAAGCTGCCGGAAGGATAATATTATAAAATACTCAATAATTAATGTCCATAATTTCTCAACTAATTATTCTTTATCGCTGTTTTCTAAGGTTAGTATTGATAGGGAAATGTCAGAAAGCTCATATACGAGTCTTTTTATGCTATTAAGGTACTTTTTCCGGTACCGTATTATATTGTAAGATATAATAATTTGTGAAAGTTTATGTTAGTATTTGTAAACTCAAACGATAATTTATAAAATTTTAAATTTTACGATAAATTGTTTAAGTTTGTAAGCTTTAATGTAAATTATTATAAAATTAAAATTTTATAAATTATCATAATTTTTACAATTTTATTGTTTGAATTTATAAATTTTAATGTGCAAACTTGGTATAGTATTGGGAATATTCCCTTAGCAGCATAAAAGAATCCTTCATATATATGGTCTCGAATTGAGAACTTGAGCTAAAAAATGAATTTATATGAAAGAAAAAATTAGGTATCTTTGGTGCATATATCTTCATATATGACAATATTTTCTCTACTTCATATTCTTTTCATTTTAGCCAAAACTAAAAACAAAAGGCTATTTTGAGCCGCAAATTTGACCTCCACTGTCGTTCCCTTCTGACATCTATATATCCAAATTCATATACATTTCTCTGCTTTTCAATCTATACATACTTATGGAAGATCTTAGGGTGCGTTTTAAACTCGTTTGAAAATGATTTTATTTTTGTATGAAAATAGAAATGAAAACGTTTTCAATCTCAAACAAAAATTATTTTTAAAAATGCGTCTGGTAGTTTTATCAAGAGATTATTTTCAGTATAAAAAAATTCATTAATGTCTCTTTCTCCTTGAGAGATGAGAAAACAGAAACAAAAAATGAAAAGCGACTTTATTTCTCTCATATTTTACACTAAACTAAAAAATCATTGTCATTTCCGTATTTTATCTTTAATTGTGTCAAACGTCATTTCTCTCATATTTTCATTTTTTTTCTTAAAAAACGTAAAAAATAAAAATAAAAACAGTTCCAATCATAGCCTTATTGTCCAAGGCCAATACACGCCATCGTGATGCCCGTCCCCTCCAAGGGCACGCCATCCCAGCCGTACACCTGGCACTTAAGCTCGCATCAAACGGTTTCACCATCACCTTCATCAACACCGAGATTATCCACCACCAAATCACCACCTCACTCCCTCCCATCAACGATGGATAAAAAAACGACATCTTTTCTGGCGCATGCGAATCGGGACTCAACATACGACACCGGACGGTTGGCGACGGTTTCCCGTTGTCGTTTGATAGGATGGCGAACCATGAGAGGTACGTAGAGGAGGGTCATTTGCACGCCATGCCGGTGCTTATGGATGAGCTTGTTGGGGAAATAGTAAAAGAGGCTGATCCTCCCGTGTCTTGTTTGATAACTGATAGTTTCTTCGGATGGCCCTCCATGATAGCTTAGAAGTACGAACTTGTTTCAGTGTCGTTTTGGACAGAGCCGGCTCTGGTCTTCACTTTGTACTATCACATGGACCTCCTCAAATCAAATGGTCATTTTGCATCTCATCGCACGTGCCTTTATCTCTTTATACAAAAAAAAAAAAAAAAGTTTCTCTCTCTAATCTAATTTGATGATCACTGTATATTGAATTTTTAGAGGATGTTTAGTACATAAATTCAGAATTATTATCAATTTATGTGTATTTTTGGTAAGAAAAAATATTATAACAAGTCACGAACTATAATTTGAATGCTTCAAACACAATATTCTAGTAGGCCTAATTGATTAAACTATGAAAATTGTAGGGGTACCAACAACGTGCCCAACACAACACATTATCAAAAAATGGTCTCTCTCTCTCTCTTTATATTTTTTTTATTCGATTTTTTGATAAACGATGATCACTATTGAATTTTAATTTACTTGGCATGATTAGAGTAACAGAAGTGTGGCTCTAGAAAATATATGCAATCTCTTTGAGTTGTAATAATTGGTTAATATATTCTTTAGGTACATAACTGACTAAACTATGAACAATTTTAGGCGTACAATTAATACCTAACACCACATATTATTAGAAAATGGGTGTCAAGTCATACAAATGATATATTCTTTTTACTAGTTGTAAGTGTCAAAAACCGCTATTGCCCCAAGATTTTTCCTTGGATCTCATTTTGAGACTTAAATCTTCTATCAAACATGAGAATACTGCCAGCTCCCATCCCCATATTACGGCATGAATTGGGAAACATCGTTGTTGCTAAGTACCATACATTAATAGAAAATAAGTCTCACAGTATGAGGTCTGTAGATATAATCTACTTTCTATTAGTTGCAGAGCTTAGTATCGATACTAGCAGTGGCAGAGTCACTTGAAGATGAGCGGGGGCAGCTACCCCCATTCAAATTTGTTTGAAAAAAATATTACTTTTAAAAATTTTAAAATTTTACACTTAAGCCCCCACTAAAATAATATATGCTCCTACTAAAAAATATATATTTTTTTATATGCCCACACTAAGATAATTTGTTAAAAAAAGTTTAATATACGCTCTTATTAAAGTGAAAGGTTGACTCCGCTATTGAATACTAGTGATACCCCGAGCATTTTTCTTAATGCATATCAAACACTTCTTCGAGATTAACACATGAGGATGACCACCAATATAAATAGAATACCGCTCTTCTTGGAAAGTTTCTTTTATGTTGATTTTATTTTGTTTCTTTAACTACTAGACAATCGTGAGGACGTTATTGATTACATACCGGGTGTGAAGGCAATTGAACCAAAGGGTTTACCGTCATACCTTCAAGAAACCGATGTCTCTATCCTAATGCACCGACTAATAGACGAGGCATTCATGGATGTAAAAAGGGCTGATTACGTCATGATGCTGTGAGTAATGAAGAGCCTTATGTCCTACCAATTGAATTTGAAGAAGTCAAAGTTAGGGGCTTGGTCGTGATGTGGACCAATTAGATTGAGGTAAACTCACACTCATTAATAGGAGGATTCTTAACACATTGTGAATGGAATTCTACGAATCCGTTTAGTTGGAAGATTCGTTCTCTGTTTCGAATCATGGTTCATAATTTATTACAGTATTTTTTCTCATAAAAAACACACGTAAATCAAAAATAATTCTAATCTTATAGTT